CCGAAGTATTCAAAAATATCCTCAGCCAAATAAAACAAGACAATCACGCCGCGGGTATCTCGATCAGTGACCCTCTGAGATTGGACGGGGTCTCGGCATCAGATTTCGAGAGCTTTCTAATGGCGTTGTACTCTCAGTAAGTAGGCATTAGAGACCTTAAGCTAGAGTCTATTTGGCCCATATGAAAATGACCCTAGCGTATTTCAAAAATTGCACAACATTTTCAACGGCCCACAATTCCTTCCAATAACTTGTGAAACGTATTAGTTGGCAAACATTATCGAAAAAAATGTCAATGAATACTCTTTGAACAAAAAATACCTTCGACAACGCCTCTGGCAACACCCCCACCGATGACAAGCCCCAGAAGGACCCTCTAGCAACAAGTAGCCTGCCCCTCCGACAAATGAACTAACATGGTCCCTATAACAGAAAAAACCTCAGAGCGTGTCTAGATAGAGGCAAGCGCGCAAGAGAGACGCTTGAGTTGAGGTGCAAGCGGGTAGTTGCGAGTGGGAACAAGCTTGCGGCCCTTTTTGAAATTTGAGATAACATTTTGTGTACAGCCAAACCATGAGATCTACCTGATATTGGGATACCAAACTCTCATGTACAGTTCATGAGATCAATAACTACACACTTGCAAATTTACAGGCTGCGTACTAGAGAAATTAAGCTGCTATGGCAAAAATGACTGTAGCCGGCGCCAAAATTGGCACATGTTTGTGCCAATTTGGCCCCAGCTTAAGGTCTCTATTGTTTTCGCAAATTTTCCATAATTTAGAGCTACCCACCAGCGAATGTCCGAAATGTGATGATCAACCGTTAACCAAAATAATTCGATTGGTTGGACGGGATCATATCCTGCCCGCCCTTCGACTTGCGGAGATGTGGGATTTCGCCCACCACCGTGATTGCTTACTCGAAATGGCATTCAACACATTCGACATCGTCGATCAGATCGTACTCGCGCAGCAATTCAAGGTTGACGAGCGAATCGGGCCACTATATCTACGACTGTGCAAACGCCATGACCCATTGACACTTGAAGAGGCGCGAAAATTGGGCCTCGAGAGTGCTATATTTGTTACTGGTCTACGCGAACGGCTTTGCAGGAGAACCAGTAAACGCAGTAATTCAGAGCAACTAGCCTCACTCCCATCCGGACAAGCCAATGAGCAATTTCTTGAGGAAGAGATCTGGGAACAGTTTGGTTTGCAACGACCGCGTCTCCCTGATGAGGAAGACGAGCCTTTCGTCCTCTCTTGGGGTCAGGTATCAAGATATTAATTCTCTCCTGTAAGCTCATAGCGCAACCCCTACTGTTTTCTGTAACATCTCCAATTGTCCAAAGCCGAGTTAGACCCTCGCAGTCGCTAGCCAATTACTTCTTAGCTTAGTTTGCATTTGTTTAAGCTCTAATCCCGAGCACCTAGCGCCAAGTAACGGCTAGATCGAATCTGTATCACCACCACTCGACGGTTGGACGCGGTCACCATGTCTAATAACAAAATGAGAGCACCAGCGACTAACTCAGCTCGTAAGCAATAAACATTCCGAACAAAAACATTGGTGAGTCGATTCGTCCGTAGGTACAAAAAAGCACCCGACTTTCTTCATCGAAGCCGAAATGGTGACAATGCAGGTTGGCAAGACATATACTACTAGTAGGTATATGCTATTTTACACTCTTCAATAGGTGGGAAACACCTTGTTCAATGTACACAGACAACACCTCCAGCGCTCCGAGACGTTTCAAGAAATGTTTGTCCTAGGACAGCAAAATGGTCTCACAGCTGAGGGCCAATCGGTGGACAATCCCATTAGACTAGACAAAATCTCGGTCCTAGAATTCAAGAGCTTTTTAATGGCACTATATACTCAGTAGGTAGCTATCACTTGTATGCCTTGCCATAACCTAAAGACGCTATCAGCGAATGTCCAGAATGCGAAAGTCGACCGTTCATGAGGGGAGCACCTCAACTTGTTGAGTCTGATCGTATCATAGCCGCTCTTCGGCCTTTGGACATGTGGGATTTCGACCACTACCGCGACTGTCTGCTTGAACTGGCGATCAGCAAATCTAGTACTATTGACGTCGTCGGTCAAATTGCACTCTCACAGCAATACAATATTCGCGACCGAATCGCCTTGTTATATTCACGGCTGTGCCAACGCCACGAGCCTCTGACGCTAGACGAGGCGCGCAAGCTGGGTCTTGAAGGAACAGCGCTCGTCGCCCAGCTACGTGAGCGACTTTGTAGGATACATGCCAGCCCAACGATGCCACAGGTAGTTTTCCTCGGGGGAAGGAGAGTTGTCAACCCGCCGCGCTCAGCTCAAAGCACCTTTGGAACAATGATGCCACTCCCTTCTGGGGAGTTTCACTAACAGTTTCTAAGAAAGGAGAGTGAAAAATGGTTTAATGGAGAATCGTAATTAGGCAGTATACAAACACGGGCTGTCCCAAATACTGTGTAGAATTGAATAAGTACGCATGAAGTCAACCATCGGTTGGCGTATCTTAATTTGAACTTTTATGCGGTTGTAGGCGGCCACGAGGTTAAACTATACTCAGCGCACTGTAGAGACTTCTGCTACATGCAAAACCGTGCTTATATGCGCAAAAGCAACGATTAGAAAACTACAAAGTCTGGAGTTGTCCCACAGAAGCGTTAATGGATTCAGCTCAGGTCACGTAGTGGCATCGAAGTGAGCTCTGTGCTGCTCGGGCTCGGAGACACGTCCAGAGTAGTTCATGCGGTGAAAGGTTACTGGTATTATGAGCGCGCTCAGCTGTCCTGCTCAATCCAGGCTGGCGTTGTTTGCATATGTTTAGGATTATAACCCTGAAGTTGAACACCTGGCAGCGGCAAAGTAGCCACCTTTCACAATCTTGACGTGAGCGCAATGTCTAATATTCATAGCAAAACCTCAACCGTGCAACCGGCTGGTAAGTGGTAATACTTTCCGAATTGAATTCTTATTGAACGAATCTACTAATAGCCATTAAAAAACACTCTATGTTCTTCATCGACCACGAAATGGTGGCAATACAGGTTAGTACCTGATATGTTCATATAAGATGCGTGAGAACCTAATCTATCATAGGTTGAAACCACGCTATTCAACATTCACAAACAGCTCCTCGAGTATTCCGAAACGTTCAGAGATATGTTTATCCTAGGACAACAGAGTGGCCTAACTGCTGAGGGTCTGTCGGCTCGGAATCCCATCAAACTGGATGGAATTCTGGTAGCAGAGTTTGAAAGTTTTTTGATGATACTATATTCTCAGTAAGCACCCGCTCCTGTATGTGTGCGAAACCAAACTGAATCTGTTGATTAGTGAATGCTCAAGGTGCGACAACCAGCTGCTCATGAACGGTATCCGAAGTGTTGGACCGGAACACATTCTGCCCGCTCTCCGGCTTGCAGACATGTGGAACTTTGCACATCATCGCAGTTATCTACTCGACAAGGCATTCAAGTTGTCGATGCCTATTGTCGATCAAATCATGCTTGCACGGCAATACGATGCCAACAGCCGAATTCGGCCATTGTATCTAGAGCTGTGCCAGCGCCAGGAGCCACTAACACTCGGAGAGGCGTGCAAGCTAGGCCTTGAAGGCACCGCATTGATCAGTCACCTGCGTGAAGCGATTTTGATGAGGAAGCTCCAAGCAGCCTTCACGCAAGAGCCCGAGGCGAATCAAACAAAACCACGGCGGGAAACTCCTCCAAACTCGTCGCAGCAGAGAGTATCATTCGTTCAGCTCCTCCAACAAGCAGCACAGGATAGTATTGAAAAATCAAGCGGCGAGGTGAATGGCAAAAGGACGAGGGATTGCCGCTCCAACCTCGCGCGACCGGTATTGGAGCGTCCCTTTGAAGAGGCGGACGAATACTTCCTCAAGCAGGAAATTAAAGAATGGATATCTTCCAACGGGGCCAACCCAGCTCAGTTTCCTTAAGTATTAGATTGTTGTTGTACGCCAATCATTATTTGTTGCCAAAACTTAATACAATACCTGCGTCTGCCTAATTTCCAAGGCTTGAATCCAGTCAGGCTAACTGTAGCGTTATACCCCCGAAGATCCAGATTAGCAAAGGAGCTAGAATAGCGAGGTAAGTGAAGTTTGAACACGGCGTTGGTCAAACTAGGGCAAAATTCATTCGCCAAAGGTGGTATCAAAGGATCGACTGGTGTAAAACAGAGCTTTTGCGTGTAGAACGAATGGGTGAAGGCGCATCAGACAAGTTTGAATTCAGACTGAAAGCCTGAGTACGATCATACAACTACAAAGCATTCGATACACTTCGGGAGCTACAGCACAACTCTTCTTATATGCGTGCAAGTAATGGGTAGAGACATATTGGACAAGTCTGAATTCAAACCACAGAAATTTCAGAGCGTAGGGAATTCTGCACAGCCTGGACAAGTGTTAAGTATAGTATCGATTTTGGCTAGTTGTGGGCATGAAGGAAATTGAATTCACTGTCAAACATAGACGAGCTGTAGTACCCATGGTTAACTGAACGAACCTGAACTGAGCTAACTGGATTTGCGTGGTTGTTACCTATATCTATTGTGCTTGTCGCGTTATATTAACAAAGCACTAATTATAAGTTAATTATAGCATGGAGCAGACAGAATGCTCGCAGTACTCAGGTGGTATGCAAGCGCAGGCCACGACAAAAGCAGCGCGGAAGCTATGATCTAATACTCTGTTTGGCGTGAAATCGGCTTAGAGCGGTATAGTAATATCTCTTTCGACATTTGATGTGGTACACTACTTCAAAATCAACTCAAAGTCAATCGCTTTTGGCTAGACATAGTGCAAAGAAATGATGGAAAGTTTGGAGTACAACGCTTGGCTATATAGCACAGCCACATGGAAGCGCCTCACCTCACTCGGCGCTCAGTCCAACCTCGCCATCCAATTTGCACAGTAATAAAATTCGCAGGCTCCCCACACTCAAGACAGGCAAAAGAGGGCGTGGACAAGTTGGGATTTGAACCCAAGACCTCTCGCAAATGCATACGATTTCGTAACTTGCTAAGCGAGCGCGCTACCAACTGCGCTACATGCCCTTGTGTTCTGCTACTCCCAAGCGCGATCGATTCCGTCAGCTAGGTATATGCGTTTGAACCCCTGCAAGAGAGCTCAAGAAATGATTCAAGCAGCATTAGATTTCCGTGCGATGGCAATCAATCAGCACGTAATACGTAGCATACAAAACGAACCCAAAAAAGCAAGACAATAAAGTCAACGAGTGGACAGGTTATAGCATACGATCAAACAAAAACGAAAAAAAACGAGCGTGGGTCAAGATTCAAAACCGATCATCATTCACAGCAAGAACGAAAACAACTCTAATATACAAGAAAAGAAATCAATTCAACACATAGTTCACTCATTGTTATTGTAATAGCATGGGTAAAGAATCTCTTGCTTCTCACCCGCGACTTCCGCCTCGCTCTTTTTCGGAACCAGTTCAGAGGCACGAGGCTGGTCTAGAGGAGTGAGAGGCGACCGAGGCGAACGGTTGCCGGGCACGATCGACTTGATGGTCGTCCCAAACCAACGCGAGAGACGTCCGACGGTCGCTGGAGTTGGCTTGCTGGCCCGATTTTTGGAAGCCTCAGCTTCAGCGGCCATCGCACGAGCCAGCTCGCTCGGGATTTCGCGAGAGCCCCATTCGACGGACGAGCGCGAGCGGCGAAGAGGGCGGGCACCTGTTTCGGGCGCGTTCGAGGCTCTTGGCAAAGGAACGGGAGGGATGGAATCGGGGCCTAGCTGAGCAGACAGACGAACCCCAGCATCGCTCTTGCGACGGAGCACCTTGACGGCCGACAGCGAAGACTGGAACAAACGCTGCTTGTCCGCCTTGACACC